ACCCCCCCCCCCCGCATTGAGCTTAACCAACACACAGTAGGCATTCAAGAGTAAAAGTGTCTCACCTCAACCAAAATTCTATTTCCTACTTCTATTAAAATCCACATTTTTCAAACCAAGCAGAAAAGACAACATGAACCAAAATTGCTTAGATATGATGATAAATAAGAGAGTCCATTGTGGGTCTGTGACAATGTTACTAAGAGCCTAAACTCACCATGTTTGAAAACTCAGACTATACATCTCATGTACCAAATTGAGTTTGTAAGACCAATGGACCAGAAATATCGCTAGCCCTTCCGTAAAACATTTTCCTTGGAACGAAAATGATGCATAATTACAGAATTTCTGGAATCATCACTAGACCCAAACTGCACAACCGATTTTGTGACCAACTTGTAGACGCCAAAAATACCAAAAAAAAAGCTCCAGAACAACAATGAAATCTATTCTCTTTACTGCAACTGCAAACATAACAATAGGCTGTGAAAGCAAAAGATACCTTCAGAATATGTAAACTGTATGGATGGTCTTGTATAGGTTTTTTTGACAACCTTTAGTAAATTCAACACCAATGTGCAATTTAAATGACAACCTGAAGCCATGAACAGCGATAATGATAAATCACAAAGAGATGATTCAATTTCTGAAAACAGCTTATAAAATCATTTCTGTGCCTAGAGCTTCAAAGCAGCTTTTGCCATTGCGAGTGCTCCTTCATAAGTTTGATTTCCTCCAATAAACCCACTCATATGGACAAAAACACAACCAGGAATTCCTGTTTCCTTGGATAGTTCATCGTCTCTTAAACCTCGCCACTGAGATGGAAGTGCTTTCCTGCTCTCAAATCTGTCAGGAGCTACAGCCACCGCTTGCACTCGCCAACCTTTGCTCCTATCATCCTACGCATCATGAAGTCAATGTCACTTTATGTTTTCCTAGTAAAATATTGACAGACTGAATTCATTCAGGGAAACGGTGCATGTCTCGAGAAGCAGTGGGGTTATTATCTACTCTCTCCCAAGACAATAAACACTGGAAAGTGTAGCAACATTATTCCTGAGCATTTTTTGATTTATGACATTGAAATTTAACAATAAAGCAGATCTTGAGAGACTAAATTAATCCAAAAGCCCACTTATTCGGTCAAACCAACTGATACAACCAGAAAGTATTCACGGGTGATATAAGTTTCCAGAAGTGACCTAAAAGAGAGCCCACACACTATTACCAATCATGCTCCTTATTTTTCCACTCCTCGCATAAAAGAGACCCAAAAACGAAGAATTTAAACAAAAACATTAGACAAAAGACAAATGTGGCACATCAAATATAAAAAAAATTGAAACAGCAAAGGACTCAGGCACCTCATATAAAACATATTTGATGGGTGGATCCATCTTCATCTCTCCTTCCAGCTCAAACAAATGAAGCTTCCACTGTTAGACAGAAAAGCCAAGAATAAGTATTCTCCGCAAGGAATCACACTAGCAGTGAATAATATATTTCTTTTTCATTATGAATTGAAGAATTTCATCAATTAAATACACCATGTGAGTAGAAAGTTAGTGGCTGGCTAATCAACCCTATCATACATGGAACATCTTTTACACCTAAAAATACATGACACACGGGAACCTTTCTATATCACTTATGGGATCTCGTTACTCTGGAATAACTTCCCATTTCTTCATTCCAAACAGTTCAAATGTTTCTTTCTTCATCAATCTATGTGGCCTACAACTCATGATTGTCACCTCTACAGTCCTTGATATTGCCAGCAAGATCGGATGACAAACATGCAAGATTCTGCAACTGCATAGTGATTTTGCAGTGCAATAGGATATGATCACTTCAGTGTCTTCCCCACTCTCTACACAGAATATTAGCTCCCTACCATTCTCTTCCTTGGATTATTCGCAGTCAATATAGCATCCCTCATGGCACACCAAGTGCAGAAAGTTACTCTTTGGTGCTACGCTTCCACAACATCTAATTCCACACTTCCCATCCTATTCCCCTCTCTGGTTAACACCATGTAATATGATTTCACCAATAACAACTTCACCATCCCATCCACATTATCCTTACCCTCTCAGCTCTCTCATACTACCACTGAATACCATGACTTGGGTTCTTCACAAGATCTGTGATGTATTCCTGGTTTATATGTGAATATGATATACAAAATATACTAGGGGAAGGAAATACCTAGTAGAGGGTTCTTCCTAGCAATGAATTATAATATCTACAACTAAAAAATATGCAGGAGGATCTCTGTTATTTTCAGAAAGTACTTAATGTTAACAGATTCGAGTAAAAATAGAGTAACTCCACTTTTTCTGGCATACAAGTGACTATGAAAGGAAATTGAAAAATGGGTTTTTAAAAAAAAATATATATATATATATGTATTCCCATGTCTGGGGTGATGAACGGGTTTTTCTTAGTAGGAAAAAAAAAGAAAAAGAAAAAAAAGGCTAATATGTAGTTCCTAATCTTCACTTAAATTAAGCCACAAAAGTCAAAAACTTTTGGTTTATAAGCAAAACATTTGTAATCATGCACACACTGCCTGATGCAAAAAGGCTTCAGGCTAAGTATTCAATACTTACTGGACAAAATGTAGACCAAACTACAATCTCTCCACTAGGATCAATCTTGTGTCTTGCGGAAACGCACTCCAATACGATTGAACGAGCTGGTAACCATGATCTTGCATAATAGCGGACACTCTGTATAAACAAGCATGTTAACTCAGGTAAAAGAAAGTGAACCATATGCTTATTTTAAAACCTATGTCTTCCAGAATAAAATCAAGCTGAAAAATGTTTAGTGCAAATGACAGAAGACCGTCAGGTGCCAAAAAGAGCACAATCTGAGAACAAACCATATTACTAGCCAAAGACAACAGTAAGAGAAAACTTTTTAGCTCTTTGAGAAAGTCTTACATCCAAGAACTCACTGCCAGCTAAATCCATTGCACGTTGGAAAGCTTCATTCTCCCTTTCAGAAGACTGATCAGGTTCAGTCCAGTCCAAGTTAAATCTTCCAACTCGAGAGGACAAGTGGGTATTGTTTACATATCTTGGTGGCTGGTCTGTATCGTACTGATTGATTCCATTATCGATTGCATCAATTGCCTATACGCAGTAAGCAAGAATATTAGGCTTACTAATTTTGGAGACATGTTAGCTTTGATCCTTAAATTATATCACATGAAATCAGCTCCCAGATGCAAGAGTTTAATACGTAAAACTTGAAAAATATTTGTAATAGTATCAACTACTAAAGAAAAATAAGAATCCAATCACAACATAGATTCAGTTGAAACATCAGTTAGCTGAAAATGAAAAGAATCCAAGAAAAAACTATAATTTCTCTTTTTTTTGATGAAGTAACTATAATTTCTCAGACTCAATCCTCACCTCCATGAAGCTCTTGTAAACAGCTAAAAACAACTTATGCACGTCCGGGTGTTCTTCATCAACTTGGAGCTCCTTTGCAATGATCTCCTTTCCAAAATGCTAAGAAACATGAAAAGGTCAAGTAAGTAGAAATTAAACTGTATATATGAACTTAACAAATATAAACTAGATCTAAGTGATTTTCCAGCCAAATCGGACCAGCTTGGATATAACATATATCTAACCAACCATCAATCTGACATATTTTCTTAAAAACTCAAGGAAATGAGATAGATAATGCATCCGCAGAGTAAATCAAGTCGTGACTAGGATGCAACATCTGTTGAATTTAAGCTCACTACAGAATAATTGTTGTACATTCAAAGGATTTAAAATATATCTAGCCAATCACCAATCTGAAATTTTTTTGTTAAAAGCTCAAGGAAATGAAATAACTGAAGCATTTCCCTTTGGAATATACCAATTGGTATGAAGGGTGGCTAGTCACTTACATGATTTGCAATGAAGAGAACAAATCAACAATCCAAGATCTAAGGAGTTAAAATATAAATCCAGCCATTTTTTTATGTTGAACTGGCAACTTAATATCCAGCCATTTATCAATCTACAAAAACCTTTTAAGAGCTCAAGGAAAAGAAATTACGAAAGCATCTGCCATCTGAACATACACAGGACTTGGAGAAATCAGAATCTATAATTCAAATAAGTTAAAACGGATATAAAGTATATCCAGCCAATCATTAATCTGACAAAAACTAAATTTTAAGAGCTCGAGGAAAATAAAAAACTAAAGCATGTGTCATCTGAACATATGAATAGGTATGAAGGATGGTTAGTCACTTACAGGATTCGTAACAAACAAATCTAAATCTACTATCCAAGTAACATACTAAGAATACATCATAGCAAGCCCATCAGCTCAAGTACACTAAGGTAAACATTCCTAGCAAAAAGATTTACACTCTTTTGTCTCTCGGATAAATAACTAGACTGAAATGATGGCCAAGTACATTTTCTAGACTAATGATGTTCTTCACAAAATCACTAATCGTGGACAGAAATACTTCTTGGAGAAAGATACAGATTATCTGCTGCATAAGGGCCTAGTATTTTGAAGAACAGACTCTTACCTAAGCTTACTTGTTTTCTCTACTCCCATGAAACAGATGTGATGTACTTAGCAAAATCCTTCTGTTTTAGGATCAAAATGAGTAATCCAGCTACACTTTTTTTGTGGATGGATGAGTAATCCGCCTACATTTGTAGCTTTGATTCCAAAGAAGGTGGGGGCAAATGATCTAAGAGATTTTAGACCAATTAGTTTGATCACAGGAGTGTACATAATCATAGCCAAGGTTCTAGCAGAAAGATTGAAGAGGGTGATAAGCAAGCTTGTGAACGTTAAACGTCAGGTGGCCTTCATTAAAGGGAGACAGATAATGGATGCCACTTTAATTGCTAGTGAGTGTATTGACACTAGAATTAGAGGAGATGTACCGGGGGTTATGTGCAAGTTGGATATTGAGAAAGCCTATGACCATTTAAATTGGAAGTTCCTGATCAACACTCTTAGACAAATGGGGTTTGGAAATAGATGGCTCGGTTGGATAGACTTTTGTATTAAACCCACCAGGTTCTCCATCCTTGTTAATGGAGAACCCATAGGTTTTTTTCCAGCAGAAAGAGGACTTAGACAGGGGGATCCTCTATCTCCATTCCTTTTTAGTATAGCTATGGAGGGATTTGACAGTTTAATGAGAAAAGCATTGCAAAATAATTGGATCAAAGGCTTCAATATAAGAAACAGGGCAAACGAGAGTATGGAGTTGACACATTTATTGAATGTTGATGATACAATAGTGTTTTGTGAAGCAAACCAGGAACAGTTATGTTATTTAAGGGTGATTTTGGTAGTTTTTGAGGCTTGTTCTGGACTCAAGGTTAAGAAATCCTTCTTGTAAAAACAGTTCAATAGATTCAAACACTAGCAAACATCTTGAGGTGCAAGGTAGAGAATCTACCAACAGTCTATCTAGGCATGCCATTAGGGACAAACCATAAAGCCATTACTATTTGGGATGGAATTATTGAGAAGACTGAGAGGAAGTTGGCACTTTGGAAGTCTGAATACCTTTCATTGGGAGGTAGAGTCACATTAATAAACTCTGTGCTAGATTTCTTACCAACTTATGTGATGTCCCGTTTCCCTATACCTGGTGAGGTGGTCAAAATTCTAGATGCTTTGAGAAGGAATTTCTCTGGCAAGGAAATAAAAGTGAAAGCAGTTTCAATTTAGTAAAATTGGCAGAAGTTCAACAAGGGAGGAATTATGGGGGCCTGGGAGTAAGGAAGCTCATGTTACATAACAAAAGTCTGCTAAGCAAGTGGCTACGGAGGTACAACCAAGAGGAGCATGCACTATGGAAAGAGGTTATACAACACAAATTCAGCCAAGAAGGGGAATGATGTTCAGATGAAGTAACAACCACTTATGGAGTGGGAGTTTGGAGGACTATCAGAAGTTTTTGGCCGACTCTAGAAGTTAATACAAAAGTTAAAGTTGGGAGGGGGATAAAGTTTTATTCTAGAAAGAAGACTGGATTGGTCTAGGATCTCTTCAAAGTTTGTTTCCTGGACTGTTTTCTATCAGTATGCATCCGGATAGCAAAATCAATGAGATGTGGTCTCAACAAGGGTGGAATTTGGTATTTAGAAGGTTGTTAAATGACTGGGAGATATAGAAGGGGTAATTGAACTACTGAATATGATAGAAGGCTTTCCAGGCACTAATTTGGAAACAGACAGTCTATTATGGAGACAACACCCATATGGAAGATTCTCTGTCAACAGATTGTACAAGTGGGGTCTATCAGTAACTAGAGGAACGAAAACATGGCCATGGAGTGTTGTTTGGAAGAGTGTGGCTCCCACTAAAGTGAAGTGTTTTGTCTGGCTGGTAGCTAGGAGAGCTTGTTTGATGCATGAAGCATTACAGAAAAGGGGCATCAACATAGCCTCTAGATGCTTACTATGCAAAGAGGCACTGGAAACCAACAAACACTTATTTTTTGCATTGCAAAGTAACAACACATGTATGGGCTTTATTCTTCAATTTAGCTAGCCTAAACTGGTGTATGCCAGAACACACAACAGATTAGAAGTGGTAGAGGACAGTACCTGCTTGTATCTGGTGGAATATTTGGAAGGAAAGGAATTAGAGGATTTTTGAAGGAAAAGAATGCTCAATACAGAAGATTAAATGGAAAGTAATTACTTCCTTAGGCTTTTGGTGTAAAGAACAAAATATAGAAGAGGAAATCCAATTAGTTGATTCTGTAGGTTCTTTGTAAGTATTTCTGTTTCTTTTTTCTCTCTTCTCGTTAATACTTTTTGGAGGTGGCCAGCATAGCCCTTAATGCCGAGGAATACAAGTTACCCGTTTCAAAAAGAAAAAAAAGAGTTAGCAAAAGAACCAACAATTAAAACACTTAGCTCCTACTCAAAAAACAAGTTCCTTAAAAAGAAAGTGTATGTTGGTACTTGTTGCTAGTGGGAGGTGGCGGGTAACTCGTGGAATTAGTCAAGGTGTGTGAAAGTTGGCTCGGACACCACAGTCATAAAAAAAAAATGTACGCTTGAGGACGCAGAATATGTCATGTACTTTGTTTACAATTGTCTCCCTTAACTCCCACATATCTACCTTGCAAATCAGCAATATGCTTCATAATTGCAATCCATGCCAGAGTGAAGACCTTAGTCCATGAGTGTTGCATGGAAATGAAAACCAACCCTATAGTTAAGTATGGGAATTGAGGCAATTCTACTTACCAATATAATACTCCCTCTGCCCATTTAATGTGGCACCCTTTCCTTATTCGTCTGTCCCAAAAAGAATGTCACCATACTATAATTAGAAACAATTTAGCTTTAAAATACTCCTTTTACCCTTAATAAAATGATTTTCAACTACACAAATAGCTAAGGATTGTTTTAGACTACAAGTTTCAAAAGTTTTCAATTTTTTCTTAAATACCGTGTCAAGTCAAATGGTGTCACATAAAATGGGACAACGGGAGTAATTGATTCAGCGCAATGCATAGCAAGCTTGATGTTCAATTAATTTGTTACCCACCTCATTGTTTGATAAAGTGATGTGTCACCCAACTCTTTTACTGATAAGAGTATGTTGCTGCACCTCTAATACAGATGTAACACAACAAATATACTTTTTCCCTTCTCTCATTCTATTGGGTGTCAATGATGGGACTACATATCTCTCTCCCCTTGCATTGGTTCAATACAGGAAGAAAAAAACACAAAAGAGGACCTCGCCATCAGTCTATCAAACCTATTCTCAAGTCTACTTCCAATACCTGGCATATAGGACATGCCTTTGATCACACAACCATTAGATATCATATAAGTTCATTGTAAGAATGCCAAGAGAATTCTAAAAGAGTGTTAAAATCTATCAAATCTAGTTATCCACCAGGGAGTACTTCTCCATCCCAAAATACTGTGAAATTTCCAAAATTAGATTGTCCATACCAATTTTACTAATCCTTTTATAATCTAAAGGAAATATTGGATTAAATAGTATAAACCTTGATTGTTCTTAAAATGCGAAAAAAAAAGACCACGTAACAATATTCAAAATCTAGACAAACGATTCTGAAATTCCAAACAAAAAGATATTACCTTGTAAACAAGACCAGCACTGCTAAGCTTAGTAGTAAATCCATGCCCAAAGACTTCTTCAAATCCTTTTTGGTGATGATCATAACGGTCTCGACTAGGATCATAAACTCCACCAACATCAAGCACAGCATCAAGCGTTTCCAATACCTTTCATTCATTCAAGCATTTCATCAAACACCTCACCTACTTAAAAACCTTCCCAACCATACATCCTCATATGCCCCAATACCACAAAATGCAACTCAATCTTACCTGGGTATCACGAGTACGCACAATCTGAGCATTGTAGTACTTGTTTGTAAGACGAATCATGAAGCACCCAAGAGCTTCATCACAGTGGAAGCTACCATGGTGAGTACCTACTCGCTTTGGGGAAACATGGTTTGAAGGGGAAGATACAGGTGAGAAAGACGAAGAATTAGCAGTTGCCATTAGAGAGAATGCGAGAGGATTTTGGTGTTTAAGGAAGTTGAAGGTGAAGAGTTTAGGGTTTTGGAGTAGTGTTCTCGTGAGAACTGAAAACATTTCTTAAACCCTTTTGTTTAAAGAATCTATGCTAAGTAGTAAAGTACATTTCTTTTCTTTACAATAGTTGCATAAAAAATATTTTACTAATAATTTCTAATGGAAAAATACATTGTAAAAAAAAAAAAAAGCCAAGCAAAGTAAAATTGGTCCTCAAAATGAAAGCATGATAATGGATTTTTGTAAATAGAAATAAAATTGGCCAAAAAAGGCTGGCAAAAAAAAAATATGAAATTGATTTAAGAGGTTGAATTCCAAAAACGACAAAAATAATTAAGATCATCTGCAAATAAACAAAGCTAAATAGAAACTCAACAAATAAGAATTATTATAAAGTTAAATAATTAATTTAGGTGAAAATTATTTACATTATCTAGTTGTAATGATCTGTTTTGTCCTTATTAGAAAGTTTTGCAATATGACTTCGGAAAATTAAAATTTTCAATATAAGTTCATTCTCGATTCTATTAAATATCTAAAACTCAAGTGGACTGGTCTTGCCCTAACATGTATCTCAGTAATAGAGACTTTACAAATGAGTTAGTCAAGTCATATTAAAGTTGTTTTATAAATATTCTTGTAGGATTATCGTAGCAGGAACGAGAATGTGTACCTATTAACAACAGCGGAATGATAATAAAGTCTTGTGAAAAGGTTGTTGCAAGTCCAAGTTTGAGTCTCAAGGAATCAACGCTTTGTTTCCACAAACTAAATGTCACTTTTGTTTTGTTAATATCAGTGAAGAAGACATAAATTTATTTTTTGTTTCTCCCTTTGTTTCTCTGTTTTTCTGTTTTTGTGTTCCTCACTCTTATATCTTTTTCAGGGAAAAAAAACTTTGGGTCGATCCATGATGTGCCGCGAAATCTTGGCACATTTGATGCTTGAAAACTAAGGATTAATGCTAGAATTGAGTGTATTTTTGTATGCTTTGATGTGTTTGTTGATATGTAGACAGATTCTTGCTTGTGTGGAAAAAATGGAAAAAGAAGCAGAAGATGATGGTGATCAAGTGAAGACCACGAGCACCTAGACGGGTCATGGTCCTTGTCACGAACCGTGGTGCCGGTCGTGAAGCATTTCCAGTATGAAGGCTTGGAGGAGTTGAGATTAGGTTGGACCAAGTAAAGATCACGGCCAACCTCACGGACCGTGGTCCTCATAATGGTCTGTGGTGCCAGCCGTGAAGGTGAGCCAGTGAATGGGCAAGGAAAAGTTGAAAAATAAATTGACCAAGTGAAGACCACGGACAACTACACGGACCGTGGTCATTGTCACGAGTCGTGGTGGTGTCTGTGGTGATGATACAGTGTACAGGTATTGAAGAGCATGTTTTGGGTGAGTCCAAATGAAGACCACCAAGGGCTTCACAAACCGTGAAGCCCTTGACGGGTAGTGGAAGCAGTCGTGAAGGGTCCGTCAGTTCAGTCCTACTTTGAGTATGACTCTTTTTAAAACATTTTATTTGAATTAAGTAGGTCGCTTTTTAGTTTTTATCTCGTCCAACCTTGAACTACGAACGAGTTTCCATTATTCTGAGTTTTGGTTTTCGATTTTAACATTGAATCAAGTTTGAAGTTTGGATTTTCGGTTCTAGAATTATCAAAGTATCTTGTTGATTTACTTATTCTTGTAAGTACTTTTTCAACATGTTTTCATTTTATATTTCTGAATGTTTGCGTGAAATTATAAGTGGCTAAATACCACAACTGGAATTGTGGGATCTATGACGTAAATCGAAGTGTAATTCCGTAAAACGAGTGATAGGCGATTTATATTTGCAAATTATAATCTAGCTTGTAGGAAGATTCCCCGCTCTGAAGTCAAGTCTTTTTTGGAGCTCATTCCAAAGAGGTTGGGATTAGACTTTCAATTGGATGTGTCCCGGTCAAATCGTTAACGACAGATCCCTGCACACGTACTACTTTCAATCAAACCAAGCTTATTAATCTGACCCAAATTGGTACACGCCAATTTCATTTCACCGGATTGAAAGAGCCATCAATCACTATGATCAATCAGGGGGCTAATCTGTTCGGCCAAGCGATCTTTTTGTTCTTTAATCTTGGCCAATTCAAGTTGATCCAAGGCTCTTTCGTATCTCGGACCGATCCCCTGGCTCTCTTCAGCCGCGGGAAGGCTTGGTTCTGTCGAAGAGCTAACACCCCCTTTCATTATTCATGTATTCTATTCTGATGAGTGCACGCATTGGAGTGAGCCTGCATCTATTATTTGTTCGAGAGAAAAATAATAGTTAGGAAAAAGCTAAATTAACTGGAAGAAATAGAGTCAAAGTTCGAGTTCGAGAGAAAAGAACTTTAACACCATTGTAAACGAGGGTAAAACTAGTAGCACTCTGGGACCGAGAGGACTTGAGTGAACATTATCTGACTAGACTGAGAAGTATCAGATATATCTAACTCGTTTGTATTTTGTAGAGATAAATTGCCTGAAACTCAACTACGGAAAAACATTAGGTGAATGTTATGGGGAACACAATCCTAGTTTCTTTTAATCATCGAAATAACTTGAGAACTAAAAACTTTATTATTTGTTAATTTGGATTTTGATTACAAATTTTAGTTACTAGAACATCACAACTAAACCCATTTTACTTTCTGTAACTGTTTCTTTAGGAAATAATAACGACATTTGAGTAAACGCGACAGTGAAATCATTTTTGTAAAGAAATTCTCTGTGGGATCAACCTTAACTCACGTTGAGTTCTATAAATTGACTTCGACCGTTTATCTCTTAATTGAGGTGCAAGTTTGGACGTATCAATCCACATGGGTGACCCACAACCCAAAACTTACATCTCTCACTTCGCACATGGTGGACAAGACCTAAATCAATATGATATCAACTAAACACATAATTCATACGACAAATAGTTCGTGTGACCTGTGAGTACTAAGGCTTACCTTCAAGGTTTTTACAAGCCCTACATAGGAATTCAATCACATGTGGAAAGAATTCACTATTAATATAAGGACTCTATTACTCACAATACCCTAGACTTCATTCACTACTTTAGTAGTTACTTCTTCGATCCCTCATCTTCTTAAAGAAGTTAACTCGAGTTCATGTGTAACTTTATACAAGCAATTACACTCAATACCAATATGGTTAGTGCAATAGCTGGCTTGTGTATATAAATTTATTATTCAATTAATTGTCTTTCCATTCTACTCGAATCTATTTGTTCCTATTCAACGACTTTCCTAGACATGCACTGCACTACTGAATCATTTATGGCTATTAGTAACATGCTAAAGTGGCAACATTGATTGAAACTTTAAGAAACAACAAAGGTCAAAGGGTATTTCATTGAAAAGTCATTTTAACTTTTCGAGGTCTCACACAATGAAGAAGCAGGGAAACATTCTTTCATTGACCTATTGATCGCTTGACACACGTAGTATGAAATACATGTTACGGTGTTTTCACCTTATATTGTTGTATGTGTTTCATTCTTTCAATTATACAACATTGTACAGACCTTGGTCTAAACACTTTCAGATGTTTAAACCTAGTGTCTCTCTTCAATGATCCTTAAACTCATTTTCTTAGAGAAACACTTGTCTAGCTCATAAAACAAATCATAATATAGTGTTGAAACTTATATCTTCATGTTCCTCGACGTAAGAGGCGATTGCTCGTGTGAGAGAGCTAATCTCGCGACTTGTTCGACATACTTTATTTCTTACAAAATATCACATGCATACTGCATTTGAACATAAATTCAATTGAATCATATAGAAGAGAATATTATAACAATCAAGTTATTTTACAATATTGAAATATCATCAAACCTTATGCAAACCTGGAGCCCTAACATGTTTTTTCAAATAAGTCTCTAGAGATGGCCTTCATAAAAGATTAGCTATCATTTCACATGTAAGAATGTATTGCAATTCTCCACTTACCATTATGTCTCTCACAAAGTTATACTTGATGTCAATATGTTTGGTCTTGCTATGATACTTAGGATCCTTCGTGTATGCGATAGCTGCTTGACTATCAAAATATAGTATCATGGGATCCTTATAATTATTTACAATACTCAAATGTTCAAAGAACCTTTATAACCAAACAACTTCTTGTACTGCAGACGCATAAGCCACAAATTCAGATTCCATGGTTGAAAGAGTTGTGCAAGTTTGATTCTTACCTTTCCATAAAATAGCACCACCATTTAGTAAGAAAGCATAACGAGATGTTGATTTTCTATCATTTCGGTCACCAGCCCAATCAACATATGTATAACATCTTATGAATAAGTCAAATCCACTATAACACAATGTATGATCTGTAGTTCCCTTCAGGTATCTAAATATTCTCTTTACTGCTTTCCAATGATCTCTTCCAGGATTGGATTGATACCAGCTAACTAGACTCATGACATAACAAATGTCTAGGCGAGTACACATCAAAGCATACATCAAACTCCCGACGACTTTAGAATAAGGAACTCGAGACATGCTTCCTTTTATTTTTCAGTCTTTGGACACATTTTAAGGCTTAAAGTTTCACCCCTTGCTACAGGAGTATCCATGGATTTGCAACTATTCATACGACAATATTTTCTTAATATAAGTTTCTTGAGATAAACTCAAAAATATCTTGGAATGATCTCTTTGGATCTTAACACCCAATATATAGTCTGTTTCACCCATATCTTTCATATAAAGTTATTTTGAAAGCCATGACTTGACAGCTTTCACATACTCCAAATTATTTCCAGCTAGTAAAATATCATCTACGTAAAGAGAAAGAATTACAAAATTTCCATTGGACTTTTTCACGTAGATGCAATGGTCTTCATCGATCATGGTGAAATCAAATGACATCACCTCCTTATGAAATCTCATGTACCACTGCCTTGAAGATTGCTTTAGGCCATAAATTGATCTTTTCAATTTACAAATTTTCTTTTCTTGGCCTTTAACAACGAAACATACTGGTTGTTCCATTTAGATTTCCTCATTTAATTCTCCATTGAGAAAAATGATCTTTACATCAA